TGAAGCCAAGAAATAGAGAGATACTGAGATGTAAGGTTTCTTACTTTCCCTTCGGCGATGTTATAAATGAGGCCATCTCAAAGCGAAATTAATTAGAGAGCATATACTGTTTTGACGTGCAATTTGGTTGAAAGAAGCAGCTTGGCAAATAGACTAACGCACTGAATTTGAATATGACTCAGCAACTTGGCAAGTGTCAGTCATAATTGAAAGCACCGAAACCTTCAAAAACGACTGTAGTTTTAGTAAATGACAAGACCGGTCAACCAGAGAGCAAACAAAATCAAATACATCCATGCAAAAAAGACAAGAGTCTCGTAACCAGGACGATTTTCCAACAAAACCTTTAGTGATAATTTACATTTTGCGGTTAGGTATTGGTAGATAAACCATGAATATGATTCAGGTAAACCGGTTTGAAAGCAATTAGCACCAGCCTAGAATTGGCAAAGAAGAACGAAACTAATTTCACAGAAACTGTTCTAGCGTTAAATTATTAGTCGTAAATTCAACCGGTCCAACTTGAACAGAATTGGTAGGTTGGTAAACTATCGCACCTAAAGAACATGCTATCCAAACTTCTATCAAATTTGCATCTCCTTTTTCGCATCTCGAAATCGATGTGCAAGTTAAAATTATTATTCTAATGAAATGTTGACTCCAGACAAGTATATTTCGTCTGTATATTCCGAGGTTTTCCAATCTATTACAGATCTTAAATTATATCAGTCTTCACTAACCAAAGTTTTCATCGACAGAATCCCCTTCTTCTTTCATATATTTGACTGGTTCTTCCGAAAATAGACAATTAAAATAATCCTCTTTCCTGTGTGAGGTTCGATAATAGGGACATTTTAAATATCTTCTGGGTTTATATGCGCTTGTGATGCACTTGTTTTGGCAAGAATGAACACTCTTATCCCTTATTACATTCGTATTCCATCAGATTCAGTTCTCGCAGCGTGCATGCTGACCTATTCTCCGTTTTTAACTGAGACGGTAATGTTAAATATAAACATAAGAAACACGTAATGCATCAAAACAGCACACTATGGTAAGCTGAATCGTACCTTGAAATTGCAGAACGAAATACAACATGCCAAGAAAATATAGAATTTCCAACAGTGATTTCCACATTATCAGCTAAAACGTTTGGTTGTTACAGACCAACAGTTTGTTGCTGCTCGACATTCTTGCAATTATGCTCATGTCAGACAGTTTTACATGAAATGATTCAGTATGAGAGAAACAGTTCAGCGGTTTACGATGTTTGATTGATTGCCAACACTCAATACAGGTATCGACAGGTGTTTGTATCCATGGAAACACCGTTAAAACTAAATCGATAGATGTATCTAGGAACAGGCCCGGAAGTGCTCCAAAAACTACGAAATAAATGTTTTAAAATGGTAATTTGCATCGTTTTATTTTCCGTTTATGAATTTCACGAATTAAAATGACAAGAGATTTGGAAGTTTAAAAATATGTTGTAATGTTTTCTTGCAGTGCACACTGTTTATACTATTACGATTGCGCAAAGCACCTGTAGGTTTCTTTTTTGTTTATTTCACGCTGTTTCTAGAATGTATTCAAACGCAAGATAAATACTAACACCAATGACGAAAAGGTAGACAACAATAAGGATAATTGTTCTAAAACCCACATCAAAAGATTTTAATTGAAGACGTATTACGATGTGCATTATTTAGTTTCAGAAAGCTTCTGGGCCTCGGTGAAGGAAGTTTTAACACAATCACGATATTTCCTACATGAAAATTATTGTTGTTTCCATGTTCGTTACTAACGCGACTTGCACATGAAGATTAAAGTGCACTCGGCATCATTTTCATCAGTATTGACGATTTATCCCCTTTCAAAATAAATTACTTTGACAAAAATGTCATTCATTTAAGCAATAGAGTACTTTTTCCGTTTTTACATAGCCTCATCTAAACACGAGAGGGGTTGGGAGAATTCAAGACAGTTGTGCAAACCCGAAACGCAGTCGAGGAATTACAAAACTTCCGAGAATTCTCCGAACCTCCCAAGGGTGTAGATGAGGCTATGCAAACACGGAAAAAGTACTCTATTGCTTTTATAAAATATTTCTCAAAAATACGCGCGAATCTAAAACGTCAGAACCGTGTTTACGTATTCTCATCTAAACACACCTATCGACCAATCAGCGGGCGCGTAGTATCTCAGCTATTTTATAAAATGAGATAATGGATTGTTCCCTCTTGTCTCTTAATTCTTCTGCGTTGAAATCGGTCAGTATAAAACACGAACTGCGGACTTCGGACTGATATAAAACAAGGAAAGAGGTATAAAACGCGGACTAAGCATTACGGACTGGGTATCAGTGAAACATGGACTTGGGTATAAAACGCGGACTGCGGACTAAGTGTGGCCTACCGACTGCGGACTGGGTGTAAAACACGGACAAAGGCACGAAATGCCAATTTTCCTGCCAAGTGACCACGGTGCATGAAGGAAATGGTATTTTCGCGCCATAAATGTCACTTGGTAAAATTGCGGATGTACTATCACCCCAAGATGGCCGGCATTGGAGGTAAGGGCTGCGATTGCTTCACATATTAATTTTTCTTTTCTTGCAGAGTTTCGATTTCCAAGAGAGCAAAATTATGATAGTATAGAGTAAAGTGCCTTACTGGCTGTTGTTATCTTCACGGGGAAGCAATCGACAATTTTCAACTCCATATGTTTGATATAATCGCCTTTATTCTTTTACTTCTCACCACCTCCTTTGGAATTATGTTACAAGTTGTTCTTTCTTTGAGTCCTTTGTTAATGAATCACTGTTTAGCAGGATGTAAATAATTACAAATTGTTTGATATTAAGATCATCTTTCTGTTTTCCTTTATTGAAAAGTTCTTTCAATGCCAGACACTTTTCAGCGCAACCTTTCGTATTAAAAATTCAGCTTTTGCCGAGATAAAATAAGATAATATGTTTACAGTCTTGGTCCTAATTAATCTATACCCACTGTGCGCTTTTTTGTTCATACCTGAGTCCATGTTTTATGCGGCAGTCCGTAATGCTTAGTCCGCATTTTATACTTCAGTCCGGGTTCTATACCCAGTCCGTAGTCCGTGTCTTATACTGACTGGCATGGAAATTATCCCAGATGAAAACAAGAACAAAGTGGCTTTCCCCTTCTAGAAGTGAATTTTAGTAAAGACATTGGTAATCCTGTACCCAGGAGCTCGCGTCCGCCAACACTAACCGCCTGGGTCTAAAGGATGCGGGCTGACTGACACCATAGGCGATCACCAAACCTGCACTAAATAACGAAACCCACACTGTTCAATTCATTCATGGCAAATGAAGTGTTTCGATAGCCTGGATAGACGGTTTAAATCATGTTGTTACACGCGCGCAAAGGTTACTGGTAGTGGTAACAAAGATCTCAACAAAAATTTTCCTTTTTGTTTTGCGTGCTTTGCCTCGCATACATCGGGTTTGTGCAGTGCTTAGCTCCCTTCAATTTGCACGCTTATTTTCTTGGTTTGTACTATCATACAGTAATATGTTCCCCTTGCTTTGCTTTTAGTTCGTACACCTATGTTCCTGTAACTTATGCAATCAGCTTGAAGTAATGTTACTGCTGCATCGTTTCCCTTCCTCCCATGGTAGCCTGAAAGAGTATCTAATGCCCTAGTCGGATTACTGACGCTCAGGCTGCCATCCCCTGGGTGGGTTTTCTCGCGTTTCTTCCGCGCCTTTCTCTCCCGCATTAGGCATGTGCCTTTATCATTGGTATTTAATCCTGTTTTACCTCTCAACGGCTGGCAGCTTTTGGATATTTCATTCACGCTGTCAATTGCCTCGCCCTTCATGATAAGTTTTGGGTGGCTAGGATTTTCTAGTCTAAGGATTGGGTTTTGTTTTTGAGTATTGGCAATTGTTTTGGATCTTTAGGCCATATTAAACGTTTAACTCCTGGGCGCGGAGCATTTCTCCATCTCTTATTCAGCGAGCGTGAAAGGGACTGTCGCGAATAGAAACACCATTTAATGGAAAAAATATCACGTCTAGCCGAAACTAGCAAAACAACATGAAAAAAACTCTTCTTCCAAATTCGGTGAAGTTTGTTAAGGCTCGACCAAATGCACGCAATATTTGGATTATTGCAAGATTGTCGCGTATAACATGTTGAACACGTTTGGCCACTCTGTTGCCTTCAGTCAAACACATTGATTGCAACAGGGAATGTGTGCAATAGGACGCGTGCAACATGTGTTCGCAACAATCTTGTTGTGTTGAAACCTCATGTTCCATACATTACTTTATTTTAAACACTCAAGTCGATTAATTGTTTCAATTTTTTAAAAATCAGATAATGCGGCAAAAAACGGTCAGAGCCAGATTTCAATGATGGCACGTTCCATGTCCACAAGGGTACTTTATCCATGTGGTCATCAGTGTTTAAAATGATGTTCTCCTCAAAGTTCTGAGAAAAATCAGCAAGTGAAATTCCTCTTCCTGGAAAAATGCAACTGAAACTGACAAAGCAGATGTTACTTGTCATATACCCAGCATCTAAACCAATCAGTGAAAACAACTGCTACTTTCTCCTTTCCTTGGCCAGAGAATATCAGACGGAACAACTTACAGAGCGCTACCGCGGTGAAAAGTATCTGTTACAGAGAAAGAAAACCCCTCATCAAGCCATTGATTTTCTGGTTTTAGCTAATGAGTTTAACATGGAAGATTTGTGTAAGCAGTGCGTTGAAATTGCCAAGCACATCTCAATAACTGAACTGCGACGTCAAGAAAAGTATGCTTTGATTCCACCAGAAAATGGCAAGCAATTAGCTGAAAGGCGAGTGGAATTACTGGAAAACAAAATATTGAGCAGTGAACAACGGGTAAACGCAGTGAAAAAAGAGGTTAAGGATGTGTGTGAGTGGGGAGTAAGGGAGATTGCACGGGTTTTGTATCAAAAAATCCTCTGAGGTTAGCCAATCGCCACCTT